TAGACAGGCCAGTCACAGCCCTTTGCACTCAGGCTGAGCACATGCATCTCCACAGTTTCTCAGGAGTCAGCCAGTCCTCTCCTCCCCCCAGCTGATGCTTCAAACTGACAAATACCCATTTTCAGATTCAGCAGTACAGGAGTACTGAATTTACTGTATCTGACACTCGAATTTAGCATGCCAACACGATATTTCACCAGCTTGTAACATTTTCAAAAATATGATCGTTTCCTCAAGGTCGGAGCAGACACTTTTCATCTTGCACCTTACTAGGAAACTATCATAAAACCCACTGGCCTAGCATGACTTTTCTGCCCTGTACCGTCCCTAAAAGTACAGTACATTTAGGCTGGGAATGCTTCAAGACAAAGGACAAACTTCTTGTGTAAGCTCAGGAATCCGGTGCAAAGCTGAATAGCAGCTATCTGGAGTATGCTATTTAAGTAAAACACAAAAGCGGGCACACAGCCTGCCTTCTACCCTAACCAGGGCGCTGTGTACTCAGCATACTACTGCTCATTCAAAGCGGGTTGGGCCAAACATTCTCAAGCTGAAACTCTGCCCATCAGTGGAAGCTGAAGGCATCAGGCACACTTCTAATAAAAGACTTAAAAATAACATGGGATTCATCAGAGATTTGAAAATAAAGATTTCCAGAAGCATAGAACACAAAGGAGCCCCGTATGGTCAAAAAAGCTTGCGGTCTGTATTACCCCAGAAGCTTGTTGTCTTTCACAGGCTCTATGTTTCAGTAGGCCCACTTCACCCACCTTTCTTGCTTTTCCCGAGACACAAGCATGCCTACAACAGACCTTAAATTCAAAACTTACATTTCACTTGTGGCCATACTTCTCCAGGCCTCATCACTCCCTGAGTTTCCTCTAGCTAAAATATAGCAATTACACTGTCTTTCCCTTCAATTTCTAAGAGAATAGATTTAATTTTGAAAAACCTCTTTAAACACCTGCCCAAAAAAAGCCTGCAACTAAAACCTCAGTGTGATTATTCCCCAACTGATTTCTAAGGTTTTTGTTTCTTTTTCGGGGGGGCGGGTATGGGGTGTCTGTGTGTGTTCAGTGGTTTTTTTTTGGTTTGTTGGTTTTTGGTTTTTTTTTTTTTTTTTAGTTTGGGGTTTTGGGGTGTTAGGGGTTTTTTTAATTATTCTTGGTGAAAGATTCTTGCACTATTCTCACCAATTTATATAATGAAAGAAAACATGTATTTAGTTTCCAAGATAAATGAGGGAAAATAAACCAGACTGGGCCAACAGTTTGGCTGAGAAAAGGAACTCGGGTATAAGGAATAGCTTACTGAATTTGTAGTTAGCTATGAACTCAAAGCAATTGTGCAGAAGCAGAAATGGAACGCTCCCTGCTGAAGGCAACCTACAAGACAGTTAAATCTATCAGCACGCGCAGAACGAGTATTCTATTGTTGTTGGAAAGCCCATTCGATTATTCTCGTTTTCCCTATTCTGCTTTGCAACAGACTATGCCACGGATGTTGCTACGGTTGTGAGTTTTTGCATACAAGTCTAATGCGTACAAGGTTTGCCAGGAAAACCCCCTTTAACCCAGGAAACAGGCTCACTTGGGGCAAGCAGAGAAACATCAAGTGGTATTACTGTTACCACACGTGATGACACAGCTTGGATAGATTCTCTTTTACGTCACGGTCACATTTGTGCCCGTAGCCTAGAACAGCCGTGAGGAAGCCCAGGCTAAAGGAAATACCACCAAGTCTGCAGTGTCAGTTCTCCCCAGTGACCTGCTCTAGACTTTAAATGACAACGTTCTGTTTTGGAGTTCCCACTGGAAAGCGCAGCCATACCTTCTCTTCTCCAAGGATCAGTTCAACATGTATGAAGGACACATCTACGGCTTCCCAGTTTGGAAAGCAGTGCAATAGTTGGTTGTGGCTATGGTAACTGCCGGAGAGGGAATGTATATTCAAAGTACATGCAACAGTGTTAAAGAGCTGCTGTTATTTCCCGTGTTTTAAATGCTCTGTGTCATGGATTCCTTAAGATCAGGTTATCTGCCAGCTACAGATTTTACAAACACAGTATATTTACTCGAAGCCTCACAGCCATAAACCAAAGAATTATTTCTATATACAGTAGGCCTAATCTCATTTAGCCCATTATTAGTGCTGTACAGGCAAGGTCATACTGTTCTTGTTCTTGAGCGAGTTTCTCTGTGGCTAACCCGGTTTACTTTTCTTTGTGCATACGAAGCAAAAGGTATCACCAGTGTAAGGCAGAAACCCATCTGCTGCGTTACAAACTGGGTATGTCACTTCCTTTACCTATTTAGAGGAAATTTATCAAAGCTTTGATAAATTTGTTGTCTGATTTTAAACACTAGCCAAGTTCCTTAATCAACTGCACCATTTCTTACTTGATGCGCTTGATAATCCCTTCTCATTATTCACGCTCTGCGGATTTCTTTTAGTCAGAGAGTGGCTGCTTGCTTCTTTCAGCTCATCTTAGCAGTAGGTCGAGTGCTAACTGGCTTTTTCTTACTTTGCCGAGGGAAAAGAATTTTAAATTTTTTTCTTATTTGCAAGTTTTTAAAAGCAGCTTTATTTTGCCCTGGTCCTTACTCTTCCTGGCAAAAACTACCAGTCACGTCCTAAATGCTTATATGACAGCAAGTTAGTTTTTCAGTTCGTTCTGACCCCTAGTCCCCAACTTACAGGTCACTGTGTTGGCACCTGGAAACTACCCAAGTCTCAGGACTTGTCCTCCACAGGATACAACAGATCGCAGGGTATTCAGTGACGTGACCAAGTAACCCACATGTCACCTTCACACACAAGCAGCTGTAACCATCAGACTCCTGACGTTAACAGACCTTTTTCAAGAATTCCAGTCTGCTGTAAACCCAAATAACCAGACTGAGGGAGACAACAGCCTTACCAGAGAGATGGATGAGAGGAGGAGAAGCAGTATTTCTGGCAGACAGCGTTTCAGAAAACAGTACGTCCGCATAGGAGTGACTGCACTGCTGCCACCCTACAAGCTACACGCAGTTCACACCCACCCTAAAACGACTGCACCGTAGCTGTTAAAGCCGACGCTGTTTGAAGAGCCAGAGCGCTGGTCGACGGCCAGATCAACGAAAGCCTAGTCCTTGGGAGTTTTCAAAACTCCCGAATTTGTGTTGTCTCTATGGCAGTTTAACCTTAACAGTATCAAAACACAGCCATTAAATGTTCTTTTCTATGATTTGCTTTCTTTTTATCACCAACACTTATTTTAGTGCATAAGTGATTCGGTTAAAAGCTTACTATTTTGAAATGCGTATCCCCAGAGTGAGAAAAGACTACGGCTGTACTAAATCGCTTATTCTGAATATTGTGTTTTAAGTCAAATAGCGCGGTGAACCGTTCAGTCCAAAAGCAAGGTAGTCTTCATGAAAACAAACCCACTGGATTGTCATTAGTTTAGGACATGATACATTTCACAAGATGCTTTTTATTCCATGTGTGCTTTGCCGTGCCTTTGGAATGCCACAGAGGCTGCCCCGTCGTACCAGCTGCTCATGTGCTCGGTGACCGCGCTGGCTATGACGTTAGGGCCAGGGAAAGCTGCGCTGTGAGCCACGCGTGGCAGCCGACTGCTGAACGGGCGACAGACAGACCCCGCTGAGGGGCCTTCCCGGGGGACGCGCACTGGTCAAACCCAGTAGGCTGGTCCGCTGCAGGGACGCGTGCGAAAAGCCGCCTGCCTGGATCACGTTTAACATCAAGTCAGGTTCTTTGGCCCCCGTCACGCTTAAAATTACAGCGCAAGAACAGCAAAGCTTTTTTTACTACTGCATTACAATTTGTAGAATTACGGTTATATGAAACTCGCCCTGGCCCAAAATGCTCCCTGTAAAAAGCTGCTGCAAGTGCAATTTCTGTGGCTACGTGGGAAGAACCTAGTACTTCCATCCACACCCAAGATAACATCCGTCAGTGGCACAGGGATACAGAGACCACGTCCGACACACCCAGCCATACTCTCCCAAGCCAGCAGCTGTTAGAAAACCAAGTGCAAATATCAAGTACTTTCTACTGTTTGTAAAACCGTAGCAAAATATTTACACCCTTTATTTTGTAATATAGACTGTCGCCAGCAGAGGCTGTTTCTGTTTCACAATCCTGCCACTGCTGCACATGGAAGTTGCACAGGAAGACATTCTTTCCTTCTTATCCTTGATGATTCATTTTATTTCATGAAGCCAGTTGGGTGGGGTTTTTTGGTTTTAATGCATGTTACAAAATATTATGGCCTTCTTAAAAATATAAAAAGGGTCTTTTAGAAGAATTTGGGGATCCCAGATTAATGACTATCCACTAGAAGGTAAAATAAAGCATAACTATTACGAGATTAACTGTCTTCCATGCTGAGAACCCACAGTTAACTTCAGCAGGGTGTTTCTTTCAAGTGTTTCAGCTTTGATTTCTACTTCCACACCTTCATTTTAAACTGCAATTCAGTTCTTTATGCAAGTTATCATCATTTTTTTTTAAGGAAAACTGACGTAGGAAGATGATTTCTTTCCAAAAAGTATTCCTTACCCACTCAGACCGAGGTTTGTCTGCAACACTAACCTCAAGTGACAGTCTCGGAAGCAGCTGTACGATTCTTCTTCCCCTACATTTGTTCCCCATAAGTTCTAGCAGCTACTTACTATACAGCCACTACTTACTCCATCTTTTTTCTCTCTGCAGCAGTGAGGTGGGAAAAGCTGCACTGCTGTGAGAGCTGGAGATCTGAGGGGGGTGGGGGTGCATGGCAGGGTGGAAGGGTTACATCTCCCGAGCGGAACCTCGGGTACTTCTTGTCGTTCTGTTGGCAAGATTAAAACTTTATGCCAAGCTGATCATTTCAATTAGGCCACCCTGGTAAAGCGGAGGGTGTTAACTCATCCCACCAGCGAACACCTGCCCACATCCTGTGCAGAAGTCACAAAGCCAAGACGCAAATGGCAGTTTGCTCCCCTACATACCCACGCCACTCTTCTTGTCCGTCTTGTGCCACCTCGCCATCGTACGTGAATCCGACAGTCTCCGAAGGACACCCACCACCACAGAAACCCAGACTTCGAGGACGCAGGCTCGACGATGGGCAGCTAACGAAAGCACCGGAGCCAAGCTGCGTTTCCCAGTTGCTGTCGCTGCGGAGAGCGGGCAGGCTGAGCAGCTGCGAGGGTTCTGCGAGATTTGCTGCTGCTCTGAGCTTCCTTCCTCTTTTCTCAACTCAAGATACTGTACCCCAGTGTCATGGGGGAGGGGAATCCCAAACTGGGTGTTTCTGTTGTGCGATACCGGCTGTGGCACACAAGCAGGCAAAAGCAGTCCTGTGCTGCACCAGCCCCGAACCCAAGCCGTGAGGTTCACTGCGTGCAAAGCCCTGCTGCGACAACGCTCTCCAGCCATGGGTCAGCTCGGTTCTGAAACCCCACGGGGCCTGCGTCCCTTCAAAGGTGCCAAAACCAGACTTCAGATTTGACTCGGCGAGACATGACATCTTCAAACCTACTTTGTTCCAACCCGTCTGGGAATGGGGATTTGTTTTTCCTAATGGACCGCCCCCCGTAAGAGAAGTGAAGACAAAGCCACCTTTCAAACCACACCCATTCCTTTTATTTCTGCCCGTTTACCTGTGGAGGAGAAAGAACGCCGGCGAGCTTCTCTGAACACAACAGCACGGCTTTAAGGACTTAGCGTCAAGACAAAACTTCAGAAAGTAAACTGACCGTGCACTTGCAGCTTTTACTTTCACAGGGGCTGCTGTCAGCTGACTGACACAACGACATTTCGGATGCACAGGCACCATGCCAGGTTGTGTGCGACGTAGACCAAGGACTGCGCACCCAACTGAAGACACGTATGTCACCCTCGTTTGTGTTCTCTACGTACTGTTTGCAATTAAAAAACCACAAACCCACCACCAAAAAAGCCACCAGAAAATGCTTTAAAAGACTGTTTCTTTATCTCCTGCGCAGTACAAGGTCATGTGACAATCCTGTTCTCTGGGTATTATATTGGAACTCAGCGTGAGCTCCATCCCTCAGGATATGTTGGTAACACAACGTGCCAGCTCTCAACAGCAGTCCCGAACAGCACAGACTGCCACTCTGCCTCATTGCACATGG